CTATGCATCCCCTACTTGTGGGCAAAATTTCAACTCAAAAGCTTGTTAATACCCGGGGTGGTTCCGTCGTAACATGATAATGATGATGTTATCGATTGACTTTTGTAGGGAATTATAACTAAGTAAGATTTTTTATTTTATAACAGTAATATATCAGAATGAAACTTGAAATTTAAATTTAACTATTCAGTAATTCAGTTCGAAATTCAGCAGGAGTTTTCTTTCAACTTCATCTTCTATAATAGTTTTTCTTTTGGCACCTATTTAAACGCTAAGTAGTTTTAAATGAAAACTAATTAAACATTGTATTTTTGCTATGTGATTTATATCAATTCCCAGTGAAAACATTTAATCTTCTAGGTAAAATATTGAGAAATGCTAAGTAGATAAATAGTTTTTACGAAGTAAAGAATTAATTTTTGTTAAATAATAAATACAGAAATGTATGAGTAAAAATTTGATAGAACAGTTAATCGATTAGCAATGCTTTAGTTGCTTTTCGTGGTCGTCCTCTTTTTCTTTTCCCCCAACCGTACGTCCTCTGCTGCTGGAGGTAGTGTGCAAAATTTCAATCGAATTGACAAGCCAAATAAATGTTTGCAAATATATTCTTTTAAAAAGTTTGGACATCTTGTGAATATGAGGAAAGAGAAGGTCTACGCCCACCCACACCCACACCCACACCCACACGCACACTCACGACTTGCCCGGCATTTGTTCTTACTTATCAACTTTATGTTTTTTACTTGCTAAAATATATTTTTTACTTGGTAAAATGTGTTTTTTACCGATAGATTCAATAAATTTATCTAGTAATTAGAAATTTAACGTATATATTAATTAAGATACTTAGAAAAAATTCTAATTATCGAGAAATATTATTTTAAATGAGCATTCAATAAATTTATTGAACATTCAACTCACTTACTGAGTATATGCAAATTTTACTTACCAGAAATCAACTTAGCATTTATATATTTTTACTTAGCGCTTAAATAGGTGCCTTTTCTTTTTAATCGTCTGAATAAGTATTGACTGAAATGATAATAGACTCTATTCGATCATTCTAAACTTACTACAAGATTCTTCGAAATATTGAAATTTTTGAATTCGATAATTTGATTGATCACTAACAAACACGTTTCCGAAACGATCAAAACTCAAACTAAATGGACTGGTCAATTGATTGGATTGTGAACCCTTTCCATAACATCCAACTAAACATCGAAAACCATTCAATCCTGAACCAATAATTCGATGATTATTTTGATCTACAATGAATAAATATTTCTCAGCATCTAGTATAATTCCACTTGGCCAATAAAGTGTAATTGTTGGATTTAGTGATTCACTTCCAGCTGCTATGATACCATTTGATTCTCCTGACTGAAACAACTGAATACGATTATTGTAACAATCTGCCACATATAAATCCAAGTTCACATCGACAAAGATTCCAGAAGGACTTCTGAGTTGATTCGAGTCTGATCCTCCAATGCCTGTTCCAGCAGCAACATGATCTGAAACCATCGCAGAGTTATTCAACGATCTTTTCACTACTAGATTATGAATACGCATTGAACAATAAAGAGTGTTATTGATATCAACAAATAAACCCCAGCACGACGAGTTGACATTCATCACCGTGACAAAGGTATTTTTTTCTGGCATCCATTTCTGCACTCGACCATGCTTCTGACCATCATCAATATAAATATCACCATTTGATGTCACGAAGAGGGAAAAGGAGAGTGTAAAATTACCGTGAATAATCTTTGTTGGATTGACACTCTCTTCTTCCCACATTACAATTGTTTTTTTTTCTTGATTAGGTACATAAATTGTGTTATTTGTGTTTACAAAAATGGCGATAGATATAAGAGAAACAATCGATTGATTAGCAATGGTAATTCCATTGGAATTCCAAGCGGCAGTTGGGCAAAACTTTGGCTGATTGTATGAAACAGCTAAAAACAAGAAAAATAGAAAGAACGTTCGAGAAGGACTGTAAACGAAATGAAATTGTTACTTTATATATTTGTAAAAGAAAGATAAAGTCTCTTCAAAGAGATTTTTCATGAAAAAGTCATTGCGAAATAATTTTTATTCATTTTTATATGAAATATGAATTGCAATATTATTAAAATATTTTTGTTAAAAACATCGATATCGATCATTTTAGATAAAATATTTTCTTATTACTTTTTTTTGAAAAATCTTGTAGAAGATCTGAATAAATTGTATTAAAGAAAATAGTTGAATAAAAGAAATTATTTATTTAAGGAAAAATAATCAAGAGAAAAAAAGAAATTTTTATCAATTAAATTTCTTTCTTTATAATTTAGAACGTTTCATTCGCCTTTCTCACGTGAATTTAGTCATCAAGCTGATTTTTCTAAAAATAATTCTTCAGATATGTCACTGCAGATCTTGTTTTTTGAAATATTTATTTAAAACTTCTCGAACCTTTTCTAATAAACATTCAAAGTTGATTTAGAAGAAATGAAAGAGAAACGATAAATGTCCCTATGTTGTATCAGTCGTCTATATTATTAGGAATATGACTCGATTTATCTTAGAAAATTTCATTAAGAAATAAAAATTAATATCAATACACGTCATATTGATACTGAATGAAAAAGAAAGGAAAAATAACAGAAAAAAATAAGATGTTTTATGATCTTGAAAAACTCCTCTTTTCTCGCTACAGATATTCTTCATACATAGTCTTGTTCGAAGATTTTTTATCTTAAGAAACTTCAAAGATTCATCAAAGATCACAATGTTTCGTCTTTGTTTAATATAATTAAAACGAATCTTTCTTTGTAATCTTAATAGTATTTTACAGATTTCAATGTGTTTCCCGAGAAATAAAAAACAAAATAAATAAATGAAATCGATTAAACAAATAAATATTTTTATTCAAAATCAGCCCAAGAGATTTTATTTATTTTCCTAAATAAACAACGTTTGTCTTTTATAGAAAATATTCTTTGTTTCTGATTATAGAAATAATAACATATATATATCTCATTAATAATTACATATACAACATTATGAATTGTCTTCAACTATTCAATATTACTCTCTACAACTAAATACTATGAAAACTATCCAAAGAACAAATCATCAATCAAACATTTTTTTATGAGAAAATTCATTTTGTATAATACTTCGTATTGAAATGTATCTCTCTCAGAGAGAAACAATAATTAAATTCATTTTACACAAATAGACAAGAAAAACTAGTTTTTAGAACTGTCATATTTTCCATGAATGAAACATATCGAAATATGAAATATGAAGTGAAATAATAGAATCATTTACATTAAAACTATATCAACAAAGATATGAACAGATTTTCTTTCAATAAAAATTGTTCTATTGATGAAATATTCTTAAAAACATATGAAATGAAACATGAAAACCCTTTCTAACACTCCATTCAGGAGAGAACTTTTTCTTTCTTTATTCTTCAATCTCAACAAAAAGGTGAAGATTGTTTGCTGAAGACGCCTGACATAACACTCTGCCTAATCTCAATATTTCATTTCTTTAGACACATTCTTTTACACTTTAGTTTAATCAATCTTTCTCAATCATTTTTGTTTTCTTTCGTTTTTTATATTGAAATGTTTTATTAACTTCTATTACTTCTCTATTCACATCTTTTCATTTTATTCAACTCTTTATTCAACTTACCAAAAGAATCTTTCATCAATAAAAACTTTTGAATTCGATGATTTGATGTATCAGTAACAAACATGTTTCCAGAATGATCAAAACTCAAACTAAATGGGTATATCAGTTGATTGGATTGTGAACCCCCTCCATAACATCCAACTAAACATCGAAAACCATTTAAGCTTGAACCAGCAATGCGATGATTGTCCTGATCTACAATGAATAAATATTTCTCAGCGTCTAATATAATTCCACTTGGACAATCAAGTGTAATTGTTGGATTTAGTGATGTATATCCAGCTACTGTGATGCCATTTGATTTTCCAAACAGAAATAGCTGAACTCGATCATTTAAACAATCTGCCACATATAAATCCAAGTTCACATCGACAAAGATTCCAGAAGGATCCCAGAGTTGATTCGAGTCTGATCCTTCAATACCTGTTCCAGCAGCAACATGATTTGAATTCATCACAGCATCATTTAAGGATCTTTTCACAACTTGATGATGCTTAGACATTGAACAGTAAAGAGTACCATTAATATCGACAAACAAACCATAACATGATGAGTTGACATTCATCACCGTAAGAAACTTATTTGTTTCTATGTTCCATTTTTGCACTCGACCATTCTTATTCCCATCATCAATATAAATATCACCATCCGATGTCACGAAGAGAGAACTAGGTTGTGTAAAATTACCGTAAATGATCTGTGTTGCACTGACATTCTCTTCTTTCCACACTACAATTGCGTTATCTTCTCGATTAGCGACATAGATGGTGTTGTGTGTGTTAACAAAAATGCCAGTAGGATATTCACCAACAATCGATTGATTGGCAAAAGTAATTCCGTTAGAATTCCAAATGGGTGTTGGAGAAAAATTTAGCTGATTTAATGAAAGAGCTAAAACAAGAAATATAGAAAGCATACTAGAGAAGAACTGTAAACGAAATGAAATTGTTAATCTATGTTTTTCTTGGAAAAATTCATTGAGATTGATTTTCAAAAGATTTCTATGATTATCGTTCTATTGTCTCGAATGATTCGCGATATGATGAAATAGATTTCTTTTCTTTCTCTTGAATCTCATTCTCGTCTCAAGATCTTAATGAGTAATGTCATTTTTGTGCAATAGCGAGCAGTCATCCTATTCCGCAATGTTGAACATTTCAGGAACCAGTTCCGCTCCGGAATCGATTCCGTTCAATTCCGGGAACTCGATCGACATATAATATCCGATACCCACTCGAAAATTGATCGAGTTCCGTCCAATTCCGGAATTGGTAGGAATTCCGTATAATTCAGGAATTGGTAGGAATTCCGTATAATTCCGGAATTGGTAGGAATTCCGGAATCGGTAGGAATTCCGTGTAATTCCGTAATTAGTAGTAGTCCACGCAATTCCGGAATCGGTGGGAATCGGTAGGAATTCCCAGGAATTCCGTCCAATTCCACTGA